GATATGCTGACTCTGTAAACCGCTTAGAGAGGGCTGAAAGCCCTATGAAGCGGTATATAAGTCTAACTGCTATTGCTATTGCTATTGCTACTTTTCTCTCGAGAGCAGGACACGGGGATTTCATTTTTAATGTGGGCCAGTGCGCTCCCAAGAAAAAGTCTGAGAATGAAAGTTATTTATGTAAACCAGGGGCAGTCGACCTTTTTATATTAGTAAATATATAGTAAAATTTTCTAACCGCCCACCGGTTCCACGGTAATGGTGATTTATGAAGTAGGGAAGTAACTTTACTTGATAAAATTTATAAAGCAGGGTTACAGCAAACCCCTACCGCCCACCACGAAAGCTGGAACGCCCACTAGTGGGCGGTAGGGACCAGGTTGACTACCACTGATGTAAACTATACGGGGCAAGGAAGCCCCCCCCCCCAGTCAGACCGTTTAATTCACGAAGTTGGGAAGGTTCAGAAGACCCTCTGCGCATGCTCTTATACCGTAATGATTGTTATTTTAAAACTAGCTTTTTACCTTCGAGCTATCGAGGTAAAGATCTTCAGAGGAACTATTGCCGGAATCCACGCGGAGAGGAAGGGGGGCCCTGGTGTTTCACAAGCGATCCGGGAACGCGGCACGAGGTCTGCAAGATCCCTCTGTGCTCGGAAGGTAAGGCTCAGGCGGTTGGGGTTTGAGGTGTCACCTGAACTCAGGTCAAGCTGACGACTAGGAAGGGGGGGGAAACATGGGCAGGGGGCTGGGCGGGGGTGTGTGTAGACGAAGATTAGGTCAGTGGTTACTCCTCCCATTCCGCTTTGGGGTTTTCTTTCCTGCATCTCTGCACACCCCGTTATCCTTTTGGGATTCTTTTTTTTTTTTAAATGACTTTGTAGAGTTGAATAATAGGTTTACCTGAAATATCAAGAACCCACCTGTGGTGTTTGTTTTGCTTCTCCCTTGTAAGTAAAAGAGGAGCGAGAACTCACGGAAAATATGGAGATAATAGGGCGATGCTATTTTGGAGCAGCTGGGCTGATATTCAAAATTGGGAGCTCTTTTCTAATATATATTTAAAACTACCTCATTTCCTTTCCTTTCCTTCCCTTCCTTTNAACAACAACAACAACAACAACAACAACAACAACATTTTTTAGCTAGACTCTGAGATTTCGGGCCTTCTACTTATGGTACTAATGGAAGCCGTATATATCCTGGTAGAAGTTAACTCTGCAATGTGTTTCACTTTCTCTCCAGGGCTTTCGCATTTGACAAAGCAGCCAAACGTTGCCATTGGTTATCTTTTACTAGCCTGGAAAACGGAGTCAGGAAGAAACATGACAACGCGTTTATTCTCTATGAAAAGAAAGGTCAGTGCCACAGAGCCAAGACAATTTTGTGGTTGTTGGACAAGTGTATCATGTGATTGTGAAGAGCAGGTGGGACTGTGGCTTATGGATAAGGTGGAAGGGGATGAGGGTTTTCCTTGTTGCTCCTGAAGCTTATTTCATTCCACCATTGGGAGAGAGTATTGGTTGCTCAGGGTTGAACGGTGGGGTCCTTGGTGCTCTCTAAGCTTGGTTGTTTTCTTGCAGATGTTTCCTTACCCACCTTGGTGATATCTTCAATGGGAGGAGGGGGGAAGAATAGAGAGGAGAGGAGAAGGAAGAAGAAGAAGAGAAGAGGGGGAGGAGAAAAGAGAGGAGGAGGGGGAGAAGAAGGGGAAGAGCAGTGGTGAAATCTAATGTTTTTCCCAACCAGTTCTATGAGCATGGCTTGGTGGGGAGGGTGAACCGGGAGGATTTCACCCCTGAAGAAGAGTTAGGAGAAGAGGGGAGAAGGAGAGGAGAAGGAGGAGGAAGAAAAGGAAGAGGAGGAAGATAGAAGAGAGAGTAGGAGGAAGAGGAAGAGGCGAAAGGACAGAGGAGAGGAGGAGGAAAAGGAGGAGGGAGGAGAGGGGAGGAGAGGATGGGGAAGAATAACTGGAGAAGAGGGGAGGAGGAGAAAGAGGAAGAAGAGGAGAGTAAGGAGAAGAGGGGAGGAGAGAGAACAGAAGAGAGGAGGATGAGGAGAGGGGAGAGGGGAGGAGGAAGAGGAGGGGAGGAGGGGGAAGAGTAAAGAGAAGAGGGGAGGAAAAGGAAGAAGAGAAGGGGAGGAGAGGAGGGGGAAGAATAAAGAGAAGAGGGGAGGAAGAGGAAGAAGAGAAGGGGAGGAGAGGTAGGGGAANGATTGTTGTTGGGGGCAATATGCTGACTGTGTAAACCGCTTAGAGAGGAGATTCGGACCCTCGCCACCCTTCAGGCTTTCCGTAAAGCCGTTAAGACCTGGCTGTTCCAGCAGGCCTGGGGCTGCTGAGTTCCATCCCCACTCGAACGGGTGTGCTTGTTGAGACCTTTTAAATTGGTTTTTGTATTGTTGTTTGTTTTTGTTGCCTTCCCTTTTGTATTGTCCCCCCCTTCCCTTTGGTTTTGTTAGCCGCCCTGAGTCCCTCAGGAATAGGGCGGCATACAAGTTGAATAAAACCTCTAAACCTCTAGAGCTCTCTCCTCACAATCAGGAGGCTGTGAGTTCAATCCTAGGTAGAGGCAGATACTATTTCCCTCTCTGGGCACTCTGAGAATACATATATATCTGCTGAATCAAAACTCCTCATTGGTGACAGTAAAGCATCCGGCCAGTAAACACTATGCTAGCTCCATTCAGTTGCCTAGGCTCCACCCCGCAAGGGATTATGGGGGGTCGTTAAAAGAAGAGGAGGATGACGATTTAATGTTCTAGAGGTTGAATTTTCAAGAGCCGTGATGGCGAACCTATGACACACGTGCCAGAAGTAGCACGCAGAGTCCTCTCGATGGGTATGTGTGCAATTGGCAGCTGCTCTTCTAGTTTCTGGTGCGCACATACCATTTTCAGGCAATTTTCTGGGCCATTTTTAGGCTGTTTTTCGGTCCATTTTCAGGCTAAAAACAGCCTGAAAAATGGCCTGAAAACAGCCCGAAAACCAGCCAAAAAACAGGCATCTGGACTGGCTTTCCAGTGCTCCGGTGTGTGTGTGCCTGCATGCACATTCGGCTTTGGGCACAGTGCCGAAAAGGTTTGCCATCCCTTTCATAGAGCGATGTGTCTTCCCTTGCATGGAGCATTGTGTTTTTCCAGCATTTCATGGTTTAAAAAAAATGAAAACGAAGCCTATCGCTTGGTTCTGGAAAAAAAAACTCCAATGGAAGTAACAAATATTCTCTGCTTGTAGAATTGGCTTCATGAGGGGGTGGATGAAAAGCTTGAGACTTTCCAACTTTCTTCTTGGGTATGACACATTCTGGGCTCCATCTAGAAGTTGTTTGTGATGTAACTGATACTTAATTGCTTGAGACTCAGAAGAAGTAAAGGATAATAAGGATCAGTTATTGGTAACATTCTCTACTCCCACACAGCTTACTCTGGTGCAGAATTTAGGTTTTTGCAAGAAAAAAAAAACCCATTTCCTTTCCGTGTAATCAGTTTTGAAATTGGACTCAAAACTCCCAATGATAAATCACCAGGACCTCCCCGGCTCATAAATTATACTCTCATCAGCACAGTCCTTCCAGCTGGAGGGAAGCCCACATGTGAAATGCTTGTTTACATTCTTCCAGTTGTGTTTTCTCAGTCTATTAGGTGCAACATCTTTTCTTCAAAGAAAGAAAGCTTCCGACGCGCTATCATCAGCTGAGCAAAGCTGTGATGGATCTGAAGCCTTTTGGCCTACCGTAACCTCCCCAGATATTTTGAATGTAGCAGAATCTTATTGGCCTGGTAACTTTGCCTGTACCAAAGTTGACTTTCAATGAAAATGCTAGTCTTCTTCAGTCAAGAGGAAGAGGAGGGAGAAGGGGGGGAGAAGGGAGAAAGGAGGAAGAAGAGGAGAGAAGAAGTTGAAGAAGAAGAGGAGGAAGAAGGAGGAAGAGGAGGAGAAAAGAAAAGTGGAAGAAGAAAAGAGGAGGAGGAAGAGAAGACGAAGGGAAGAAGAAGAGGAGGAGGGGGAGGGGAAGGAGGAGGGGAAGAAGAAGAGGAGGAAGATGGGGAAAGAGGAGGAGAAAAGTGGAAGAAGAGAGGAGTAGGAAGAAAAGATGAAGGGAAGAAGAGAAGAAGAGGAGGAGAAGGAGGAGGAGAAAGGGAATAAGAAACAGGAGCAGGGAGGAGGAGGAAGAGAAGAAAAATAAGAAGAGGAAGAGGAGGAGGGGAAGAAGAAGAAGATGGGGAAAGAGGAGAAGAAAAGTGGAAGAAGAGAGGAGGGGTAGGAAGAGAAGATGAAGAAGAGAAGAGGAGGAGGAGAAAAATAAGAGGAGGAGGGGAAGAAGAAGAAGACGAAGAAGAAGAAGATGGGGAAGAGGAGGAGAAAAGTGGAAGAAGAGAGGAGGGGTAGGAAAGAGAAGATGAAGGGATGAAGAGAAGAAGAGAAGGAGGAGGAGGAGAAGGGGAATAAGAAACAGGAGCAGGGGAGGAGGAGGAGAAGAAGAAAAATAAGAGGAGGAGGAGGTGAAGAAGAAGAAGAAGAGGAAGATGGGGAAAGAGGAGGAAAAAAGTGGAAGAAGAGAGGAGGGGTAGGAAGAGAAGATGAAGGAAAGAAGAGAAGAGGAGGAGAAGGAGGAGGAGAAGGGGAATAAGAAACAGGAGCAGGGGAGGAGGAGGAGAAGAAGAAAAATAAGAGGAGGAGGAGGTGAAGAAGAAGAAGAAGAGGAAGATGGGGAAAGAGGAGGAAAAAAGTGGAAGAAGAGAGGAGGGGTAGGAAGAGAAGATGAAGGAAAGAAGAGAAGAGGAGGAGAAGGAGGAGGAGAAGGGGAATAAGAAACAGGAGGAGGAGGAGGAGGAGGAGGAGGAGAAGGAGAAGAAGAAGAAGAAGAAGAAGAAGAAGAAGAAGAAGAAGAAGAAG